TGTTGATATTGTGAGTCAGTTAGTAATGGATATGGGAAATCAAAAAATCAATTTACTGTATGGAGGGACTAGCATCACTTTCTTTGATAATCTTTTATTGGCTGGAAAATATTTTGAGATAGAAGTGAAAAGTATCATACCTTTTCATAGAGCTTCAACAAGGGTCGTCAAGAATTCCATATGCATGATGCTAACGATTCTATTTATGATTGTATGATGGATATGGTGAACAAGAGCGATGCATTTATCATTCTTCCAGACGGTTATGGAACGCTAATGATGATGTTCACCATTGCTTCTTGGGCAGAATTGAAACTTCATAACAAGTCCATAGGTCTATTAAATTTTATTAACTTTTTTCATGGTTTGCTTGGATTTTTAGACCAAGGAGTATATCAAACATTTATCTCTCCTCCAACGAGAGAAGTATTCAAATCTGCAGATACGTCTGTTGAGCTTATCAAAAAACTTCAAGAATGCATCACATTTCAAGATTCTGTGGAAACACATGGGGTCAAGCGAAAAAGAGCTTTTGATCCATTAGATCTCTCATTATGAACCCAAATAACAATAATGGGTGGCAGAGTTACGGAGTTTTCTACTCTCGAGACGCACCCTTCTTTTATGGATTCTATTATGTAATATTTTTCGTATTTTGTATTTATCGAGGATTTATTTCCTCTTATACATATTTTCATCATTTGAACCTTCTGTACTTGTTTCTCAGTATTAATGATATCAATTTCGCTTTTTCACAAGGTAATTGTGTAGTACTTCATGACTACAATCATTTACTATATGTGCTTTTTCTTGAGAACTTTATTGTAATATCTATATAATATCGAATCTCAATGTGATCTGATATAGTCCCTTAGACTCATATAATATATTGAGAAAATCATTTTGTGTGATCACTCATAACTGGTAGCTTTTGATACCACTTTCTCAAATTGTTCAATTTTCTAATGATAGCTTCTGGTACCACTTCATCATTTTAATTTATCATAAAGTGGTAGCTTCAAGTATCACTATACCATGATATCATCATTATGTGGTAGCTTCTGGTATCAAATGGTAACTTCTGATACCATCTCATCAATTTTCGTAACTCCATAAATTTGGAGAATGTATCAACTGTTTTTTTTTTCTTCATGATCATGTTAGTCCATATAATTTTCTTTCCCGATCAGGTCTTTATTCAACTTTCACATGGCCAGATACAAAGTATCATTCATTTCATTCATAGGCTATCACTTATTAGTACTACCCGTCGCCGGCGACAGAGCCGCACTGGCTGGCCCACATATATTTAGCCATTCATATCCTTTTACGTCTATCATTTGTTAAACATGGCCTTACCACATGGCCATTCCACATTACACTGGCCGATTTATTTAGCCGTTCAATATTATCCGTTGCTAGTGGTTGCAACACTTGACCATTCACATAACTGTCATAATATTTTAATCAACAAACTCGTCAGCTACCATTAAATATTACTTTTCAGCGACAGAGCCACTATGGCCAGACCTTGTAGTCAAACATATTTATTTTCATATCACATGTCCGCGTACCAAATATTTTTCTTAATATAAAATATCAAAAATTTCATAATGGCAACATATATTAATATAATTTGATAAATTATATCAATATTGGTCTTAAAATGAAGCTCTTATTTAATTTGTTAATATGAAATTAAAAACAATGAATTTTACCATGTTTGCTTCTCAAATTTACTAATATGAGAAACATAGTTATAATAATAGTATCACTATTTTTATTTCATTTTTTTTTCAATCATCAAGGTTTGATGTGTGTACGTGGAAAAAAACAAACACTCTCATTTATTTATCCAAGTTTCTAGCTACTACACATATACTATTGACATTTAATGCCCTTCAGTATAATTGACCGACATATAGTGTTCTAGTGGAGCAATTTGGACTATTAAAAAAATTTTTTATTTTATTTTATTTTTGATATTGTTTTATTTTTAAAAACAGCACCTCAAATGTATTTGTTGAACTGTCACCAACTTGATTACCTAATAGCATCTCAGATAATTATTTATGCTTTGAAAGATGATCCGAATTAATAATTCAGGGAATGTATTAACAATTTGAAATGATAGAAACTAAGGCACACTTACAGTCGCCAGCTTTGGCTGGCTTTGGTCCGCCCTTGGCAACCCTCTGGTTTTTACGGCGAGCGGCTTGATTCGGCCTGCCAGCGGCAGTGGAATCGGGTATCGGCTGTGGCGCGGATGCTCGATCTCCCATGGTTAGGTCGGGTACCCTATGGTGTTTGAGGACTGGGTGAATTGCGACGGATCCGGTTGTAGTCCGCGGATGTGGTGATTTTTTTTTTCGCAATCTTAATTTCCTAATTGTTTTTTTTTTCGCAATCTTAATTTCCCAATTGCCATGTGATATGGTGGATGTCTTGGTTTCCAATTTTCTCGCCGTGTTTGAGTTTTCAAACTTGATGAGGGCTACTTCTTATTTCCTTATCTTCCAATTTTATTTTTTTTTTATTATTTTTTTTAAAGTACATATTTTGACATAACTCATCAAAATTGATTGAAAAATATAACGATTGGTAATATTCTGATTTCTGATAGAGAAGATCGTCTATAAGACGCAACTGTAAAGCATACTTTCGTCATATTACGAATCGAGCTTTAGTGGGTAGAGACTCGTGCTGATAACGTGTTATAAAACTAGAGAGAAAGAGAGATAATAGAGAAAATGTTTTCTCTTAGGTACGATTTTCATTATAACTGAAGCTCCTATTTATAGGAAACTTATGATGGCACAACCGTAATAATACAATTACATCGGGGGCAAAATAGTCATTCACATACATTATTTTATAATAACATTAATGGTGTGGACCATATATATTTATAACATTGTCTAAGTTATCTGAGCTCAAATATATAAAGTTCAACCAAAAAAAGCGTAAGCTATTAAAGCAATACCCTTATAACTTAACCCTAAAAGCTCAAGGAAATATAAAAATAATCAAATAAGCAAAATAATTTCTAACTTCTAACATAATAGTAATAAACTCTAATTTATAAGATAGTCAATTCTAATCTATAATACAATAATTTCTAGCTTCTAACATAATAGTAATAAATTCAAATTCATAAAACAATCAATTCTAATTCTATACCATAATAATTTCTAACTTCTAACATAATAGTAATAAATTCTAATTTATAAGATAATCAATTCAAATATATAACATAATAGTTTATACTAATATAATTTTTTTCAAAATAGTATCATTTCTAATTTATAATAATATAATTTATACATCTCAAAAATAGTGAATAACTTCTTTACTTGGACGACAATATCACCATCCCGCAGCGCTCGGCGAAAAAAACCCTACCCCCAAATCTCCCGCAGCTCTCTCAATTTTCGGTGGATCCTCCTTCCTCGGCGTTGGCGAAGCATGGATAGGGGTCGTCCTTGACCGGCTGGCCCTACTATGACAATGCGTGCCCCTGTTGCTGCTGTAGATGGGCGGCTAATGGAGGTGGTCTGTGGCTCGGCAGGGATTCAGGATGGCCGATGGCGCCCCTCAAGGTCGGCATTTTGGCCGGCGACTGGAGTCGTCTTCCCCGTCACTGGTGGAGATCCAATTTTTGATGGTATATCTCGCCTTTGTTCCCTTGTCTGCACTTGTTGGTTTATGCTTTTCCAGCGGATTTCCACCTTTCCGGTGGAGCCTGGTCCCTTTGTTGTCGGCAGTCTGTGGTGAAGACGGTGGTGCGTGTGTCATTGGGTGGGGCGGAGCTCCAATTGCTGCGACGTCTCAGGTTTCGGCTATTGGGGTTAAGGCCTGAGAGATCGACTCTCACCCTCCCCCGTTCTGGTTAGTGGTGTTAGGCGGCGGGGGAAGGGGTTCTAGCGAGCTCGGCTAGTGGTGTTAGGCGGGCTAGGGCGGAGCTGGTGTGGGGGTTGGTTGCTTCTCTCTCGGTTGAGGATGGGTCGATTCGGGGATTGGTTCTTGGCTCGTATTTGGCTATTGTATAGGTGCTGTGCAGTTTCGGTAGTTGAATCTTGGGCTAGAATCTATCTTGTGTCGACCGTCCACTACTAGCTGGACCTCTCCGGTTGCTGGGGAAGGGCTAGGTTTTTTAATTTGTCTTTGTTGTTTTTGTTTTGTGTTGTTTGAGTCTGTTTTAGTTTTCATCTGTGTTTGTGATTTTTTGGTCTTGTTTTTTAGGTTTGGGCTGTTGGACCCGGTACTGATTCCCCTGTGGGGGGCGTTTCTATTCTCCTGTGGGGAGCGTTCGTAGTTGGTGTGTTGGTGTATTTTTTTCGTGTGCAGTGTGTTTTCTATTCTAGCGTGGCTAGCGAGGCTCTAGGGCAGACTTTCGTTCCGTCCTCTAAGTTTCAAGTTCCTGGTTGTAATATTCAGCCATGGGCTGCTTTTTTGCACAGTTATGCGTTTTGATATATAATACCTCTATCATTTCGGAATATATATATATATATATACTAGATTGGGCTCGGCTGTGCACGCACAGTCGGTCCTAGTTCGGTCTATAATTATATCTAGTATTTGTAAAATTTTTAAAACACACTTACCCACATTTTATGGAGCAACCAAAATGCTACATATTTTTTTGTTTGTTCAAAATGTTTTTCACAAATATTTTTTTTTTCAACAATTTTTTTACCACTCTTTTGACTCATTTGTTTGTAACATTCAAACAAATTTCTCAAAATAATTACAACTCTAAACCATTCCCATTCCTCAGTTTATTTTGTAGGTGTACCATAAAATTGCCAATTTTTATACCGTATGTTTTATTAGGTTCTGCAGTTAGTGTGCTGCAGTTGCGGATCTCAGGGAGTACCACTATCCGGGTACGAAAGCGGTGGGGCTTCTTCGCACCTATGGTAGCCGGAGAAGACTTCCTCGACGACTCGGTCTTCATGCGTCCATACCTCTTCTGTCATGATGTCTCCAACCTTCGTTCACTTGGATGACCTTCCCTGGACAATTATCTTGCGGAGGTAATCTACAAATTCCGTAAACAAATTAGCGTTAGACCACCCTAGAAAGTAGTTGATTAAATTAACTGAGTGAAGCTTGCTATTCTATTATCGTGTTTCTATTATTATTGATTACTCAAATTACATTCTACATCCGCTTTTTTTTGTTTCCGATAAGCAACCAGATACAATCTTGAATGTTCTAAGGTTTCTCATTTATGTAACCAAGAACTCAGGGCAAAGGTTTTTATTTAACCCCAAATGGTAAGTTATGTAAGATTTTGCAATCCTCATGGTCAGTTATAAGCTATCAATGGAACTGAAGGCACCGAAACTTAACACATCAAGATGATAAAATCCAAAATGCAAGCAACTTAGGAGCAACAATTTAGAATAAATTGATGTACCTCTTTCAGTGATAATTCCTGCAATCGACTTTTTCTCCCATAGTTTAACCACCACCAGAGCTCCAACGTTGTGCAGTGTCATCTGCATTTGAAGAAAAATAAGGACA